TCTACTTTCCCTTTTTTCTTCATATTAGACCATTTTTATTTCTTTTTTGTCGTGAAGCACTCAGTTGTAAATAATGAACTTCACTTAAAATGTTATTTCTAGTGGAATTAACTATTACAAAAGGCTACAAATTTAGATACTGATTATTCAATTAGGAACAGATACTTGTTATCAATTTAGATACTGAGGATTCAATCAGAAACAGATAGTTGTTTCTCTATTTGATTGATACATTCAGGCTATAAGAAGCTACTGAAAATATCAATTCATTGTCTTCAGTTTTCTTAAAGCTCTGGTTAAGATAACAAATACATCAATAGAAGTTGGTCAATTTATAAATCATGAATTTGAGATATTAAAACATTAAATGAATTCTGATGCATATATATGTATGGTATGTTTTTAACATATGATCATAGTTGAAGTATACTTATACATATAGAATGTGTGTATTCTATACATACATTGCTATCCTTTTTCTTCCCTAGAATGGTGTCTGTGTATGTGTGTGTATGTGTATAGTTGGTAAATAGTGTGTGCAACTGTGCATGAGAACAAGTAAGACTGCAAGTGAACAGTCACGAAAAATACTGAGTTTGCTATGAGCTCAGCTTATAATTTATGCAGTTCGAACTTTTCCTACAAAACAGAATATGAATGTGAATGGAGAACAGTTTTTGTCTGTTCAATACTATAATCATAGGGGTTTTTTTTATTAGGGAAATTAATTTTGTTGGATCATTGAAACTTTTTCAAGCACACAAAACTGTCCAGAAACTTCCAAGAGAGATGGAAATTCACTCATGTTCATCAGGTCATCAGAAAGGATATGTAGGTACATCCCACTAGCCAATGGAACCACAGGACATTAGAGTGGTAGGATCTTAGAAAGGGACTATCCTGGGGCTGCTATTTTATGAAAAGGAATGCGAAGCAGATTAATACTAAAAATCTCAAAATATTCAAATGTCAAGCCAGTAAGAATACATATTGCATTAAAGAAAATACAATTTGTGTAGGGAATGCCAGAAGTCTAATGGAGACTACTGAAGTGGAGCAAATTGAGCAGTTTTGATATTACCTTCTTACAAACTTATTGTCCTACCCCACAGCAACTCTCACCATGCATGGCTTAAAAGTGCAAAGTGAATGCCAAAGCCTAACATTTAGCTCTGTTTATTTTCTCTTCTCCCCGAGAATGTAATTCCATTGCTTAGCCCTGAACTTCTGAAGCAGTTTATTTCCCATCTGGCTCTTGTCAGCCAACAGCACTAAGGCCTCCCAGGAGACTTGCTTCCTAATGGTCATAGGCTGTGATGGCCAAATGCCTTCCAATATTTATCAGTCTCCTAGTAGGTGAGAAGAAAATGGGCTCTTGAGGCTGGAGTCTAAAATCAATTAGAAATAGGAGGCAGGTTTGCAAGATAGATGATTGTAGCACTCCAAAAATAGGATAAGCCAAAAGAAAATGAGGATAATCAGTAATGTGGAACATTTATTACGTTGGTCTTTCAACTCTGGACTATTCATACGTGGCATGACAACCTTGATCCTGCCTTAACAATGCTTTGTGGGGCAGGGATTCTGAACAACCATCCCCAGTCTTCAAGCATTGTCCCCCTAGTCTATAATCATTTCCTGGATGTTCGTGCCACTTCTTCAATGAGTCTTCTGGGAGAAAATGCTTCCTTTATTTTTCTTTAGAATTGTTAAAAACTTACCATCCATTCCTTCTTCTTTTCTAACACAAGTGGTGGCTAAGTGATAGCAAATTCACTTGGGCATTCGAAAGTAAGAAAATTGGATTTATAAATGTTGCCTTGAAAATGCAATACTGTGTGTCAGTACCTCAGATGTTAATTTTAAAATGAGCCTCCAAGAATTTCTTATAAACCTTATATGAAAAGAAATGAAATCAAAGATTATGAAAGGAATTAAATAAAAACAAGAACATGCCTATAGGAAGCTGATAAACCACAAGCACCTTTCACTAAAAATTGAAAAAATGAGAAAGAGTAATAGATCAAAACTAATCTTTGAAGTTGTTCAGCAGGAAATAAATTTCAGTCAGAAATATTTTTTCTCAACCAACAAGGATTAAAAGTAAGTTTATGTCAACTTCTCCATCTTATCTCTTAACAAAAAAAGAAAAATAAAATACTTTACATACCCTAGATGAATTTTTAATTATGAAACAAATAAGGTTTCATTTGCATAACTTCATGTCCTTTCTGTAAGCTGTTCCTTGGCCTGCAATGCCCTGCTCCATAATTTTATTTCTATTAAATCTCACTGATTTTTCAAAGCCTAGCTCAGATGTTTTCCATCTGTTTGACTCTTTATCTAATACCCATTAAGAAGATAAAATCTTTATTTCCATAACATTTTGCAGAAATCAGTACCATAGCATATAAGATGCTAGGATATACAATTTGGTAATAATGCTGTATTTGTTACTTTCACAAGTGCTCATTGACGACATGGAAGATGTTTTACTGATCTTTGCAAGTTCTTTGCAGAATTTGGCAAGAGAAAGCAATACAGGCCTCTAAATGAATGAAAAAAGAAGGGGAAAAAAAGAAGAGGAAAATGTATGCATTAGTTCCTGCATTGCTCTTCACTTTTGTTTCCTATTACGTGTGGAAGTTGTTCAAATGTGACAGGAATAGAGAGCAAGCATAAATCATTATAAATGTAGAATACTTCAGCTAGTAGGTGATTTATTCAACCTTTTCAATTTATAGTTGAAAAACAATTATAAAATAGATTAGTAAAGATAAAAAGCCTCATCATGGGCCAGGCGCAGTGGCTCACGCCTGTAATCCCAGCATTTTGGGAAGCGGACATGGGTGGATCACAAGGTCAGGAGTTTGAGACCAGCCTGGCCAACATGGCAAAACCCTATCTCTACTAAAAATACAAAACTTAGCTGGGCATGGTGGTGGGCGCCTGTAATCCCAGATACTCAGGTGGCTGAGGCGGGAGAATCGCTTGAACCCAGGAGTCGAAGGTTGCAGTGAGCTGAGACCATGCCATTGCACTCCAGCCTGGGGGACAGAGTGAGACTCCTTCTCAAAAATAAAAATAAAAAATAATCCTCATTATGCTCTATATAATGGCTAGTTCTTTGACCAATGTCATTCATTTGTACAAAAAAATATTAGGTACATAAACTATGAATTACATTGCTTGGCTATGACAGATGTTAGTATGAGTAAATTAAGCTCTTCCAATTAAGCTATTCACAGTCTGAGGGTGATGGTTGGGTAAACAACCCCAGTGTCTCAACACTTAGCACAGCACAGGCTGGAAAATGGAAGAATCTTATTAAGTAGAGGAAACACAATTGGTCAAACATATGTCTACAGTTACTTGGAAGACTACAAGGCCTGACTTCTAAAAGTAAATGATAAGCATATGTTGGCTTCTCTTGGCTACTTTTAACAAGGCATCACAAGAAATAAAGTAAGACATTACAATTTTTTTAAGCAAAGATGATATAGAATGGAAACTGGAGCATGAGTCTTGCAGGGTTGCAAAATTAACTTCACCTGGACTTCAAATTACAAAAGACAAGAGCCTGAAGACTTCTCAATCAATCAGGAAGTGACAACCATGTAGCAAAAAATCAGATTTACAGGCTTTCCCACCTACTGTCTCAAAGGGCTTTAATAAACCACCATTCAATTTAGAGGAAAAAAATCAGTAGAAACTAGGAAACCAAGAACTATATCAGGCTTGTTCATTGTACCTAGGAAAGAACTCTGGAGATGTTTATTAGCCTATAGGATTTCTGGAAACAATAAATGGGAAGCAATTTTGGTTTCTGAGGGAATTGTGTAATAATAGAAAGAACACTTGACCTTGGACCAAAACATTTTTTATTGTTCAGTCTTAAAACAACATTCAGTACTGCCTAAACTATTAACCATGAAAAGAACTACAAAAACAGCAAAAGTCCCAAGGGAATTTATACTCACAAAGTCCACTCCAATTAGAGCATTTGAAGATAGTGTACACATCAACAAAACAAAACAAGAGAATAAAGTTAGGTGTCACAGCTAAGAATTTTCTTCTCAGCAAATAGAATAATCAGGGTCTAGTCAAGGAGCCAGTCAGCCATGGTAAGGACTTTGCAAATTTTGCCCAGCAAGAGCTCATAATTGTAACAGAATATGTCTGCCATTTATCTTTTATCCTTTCATTTTCGAACGGGAGTCCTTGTGTTGTTCCTGTTTCTGTGCCATCATATATAGGGTGTGAACAGCAGGGTTGCAGATGTTGTCATTTTATGTCCTGATAGTAAGAATTGCACATCAATCAAGGACTCAAGAAACCAAGCTAGAGATGGCTTTGAATTGTCTCTCCTGGAGAGGGGATGAGCATGTTCTTGTCATGGAAGGAAGGTTGAGATATATACATAATTAGTGGCAGGAAGGTAGGCTCTGGCAGAAACTACTAGCTGATTATCAAACCTACTCTCTGTTTTCCCTTGCACACAGCTAGAAAACATTTCAGCTTCTCTTAGTGATAGATGTAGCCATGTGACTGATTTCCAATTAGTGAAGTGTGAATGGATGGTAAGTGTGGCCCCTCTGAGACTTGCCAGTGATTACCGAAGTACAACTCTCCATGTTCCTTCCCATTTCACCACTTCAAACAAATTAACCCAGGTACATTAAATACCACATGTAGTGTTGCAGTATCACATATAAAAGTCTTGGATTCTGATCTTGACTTGAAACAGTGTCTTCTGATATTGAGGAATACTTATTCTGGATTTTCTATGAGTGAGGAATAAGCTTCTATTTTGTTGGAGATATGATTTTGCTGTTGTTTGTTGCAACGGCTACATTTCTTCAAATACTATAATTCCAAAGGGAAAAACCAGAAATCTCTAGAGTTCCTGGAGCTGTCCCATTCCTTCCCTTTAAGAGATTTGGCTGTTAAGCAGTCTATATTTTTTATGAAGTGCTCAACTTAACACAAAACATATTCTATTGCTTGCAATCCTAAGAATCTTAACTGAGCCTGACAAAGTTGACAAAGACAGGTGGGAAGTTTCAAAACTATTTAGCTGAATTTGATTAGATGTGTGGTGTGACAAAAGGAAGAGCCAAGGGTAACTACCAGGTTTCTAGCTTGAGTGTTGACAACTTAGTGACTATCAGACACTTTTCAAATAGTGAGTTTAAAATACCTTTGAGATGTCAAGATGGAGATATTTAGAGGGAGTTGAAGAGAAGAATCATATGATGGTTAATTTTCTGTGTCAACTTGATCAGGCTAAGGGATGCCCTGATACCTGGAAAAATATTATTTCTGGGCATGTCTGTGAAGATCTTTTCAAAAGAGATTATCATTTGAAGCAGTAGACTGAGTAAAGAAGACCCACTCTCACCAGTATGGGCAGGTATTATCCAGTCTGTTGAGGACCCAGATAGAACAAAAAGGCAGAGGGGAAGCAATTTTTTTTCTCTCTTTCCTGGCACCAGGACATTCATCTTCTCCTGTTCTTGGACATTAGAGCTCCTGATTTTTGTACCTTTGAAATCCAGGACGTATACTATTTGCTCCCCTAGTCCTCAGGCCTTTAGACTGAATTACAATACCAGCATTTCTGGTTCTGCAGCTTGCAGACTACATATAGGACTTCTCAGCCTCCATAATTGTGCAAGTAAATTCCCATAATAAATTTCCTCTTATATATTTACATGTCTCCCATTGCTTCTCTCTCTCTCTCTCTCTCTCTCTCTCTCTCTCTCTATCTAAAGACCCCTGAATAATACAAGTTTGTCGTCCAGGAGAAAAGACTGGGCTAAAGATGTCAGAGTCAAGAAGGCAAGAGTTAGTTAAACCAGTGTGTAGTGCCTCTCAGGATAAACTCATAAAATCAGAAAAACAAAGGGTAAAAGCAGCTTTTTGGATTTACCTACATTTAAGGGGTGGAAAGGCACCCACAAAAGAGAAGACAAATTTACATTTATAAAGGTAAATTAAATTGGCTTATGGTAAGCATCAGGAAAGAAAGTATCATAATAAATTGAAAGGCAATAAAGGCAATGAAAACGGGAATGCAAAAGGGACCACAAGGCAGTCCCTGGGGAAGAAGATCAAACAGAAAAAGTAAGAGGGGCAGCATGAGCAAAGGAGAATTAGATGGAATTTTCTCAAAAAGACAAAAGAAAACAACATGTAAGAATTTCACAGAATGGAGGTGTAAGTCAAGTGAATATCATGGATACCAGGTATGAATCATGGTCAATGGATAAACAGTAAAATAAATAAAAAAACAAAAATGTCTACTGCCTTCCAGGATTCCATATGGATATAATTCACTCATTTATTGATATAATTTACTTTATAAGTAATAGTAGTCTTTAAATGAAGTCATTCTACTATTAATCAGTTTGCTGAAAATTCTTTAAATGTAGAAAACTATCTCCTTTAAAAATAACCACTATTTACTGAGTACTAACTCTCCTAAGCATGTTATTATACATGTATCATTTTCTACAATTCTCACAATTTGAAGAGGTAGAGGCTGTTACTAACGTCAACTTAGAAAATACTGGTTTACAGACTGGGCTTAGATCTGATTTACTGAAAATTCCACAAACTGCTTTATATTTCCCTTTTATGGCAGGTCTCAAAAAATGGTCTTCCACCCCCCCATAGTGTATTATTAATATCACTAACACAAACACATTGTACCATTAGCCTGTGAAGTTAGAATGATTATTTAAGTGTGTGCTTCAATAAAACAATCAAAGATATTAAAAGATGACATAATCAAAGATACTAATACAATTGCTCTACCGAAAGGTTTTTTATTCATCATTCTGGGCTTCTCATTAGCCAATTATTTCATCCACTTACATGAGGCTCCTGGTTGTGCAAACTTTCCAGATGCAAAAGTACAAATTTATATACATATTTCAAAAAATAAGTAAGATCTAGTTGCCCAGGAAATTTTGGATGAGTGTATGATTATATAGTTAACAGAGACTAGATCCAAAGTTAATCCAAATAACTGATGCCAGAAACATGCAGCAAAGCTTCACTAAAGATACTGCGTGCATCAGTAAAATGCACTGTTTGCTCTCATATGCATGCTTTGTGTGTTCAAGGATCTATAATTATTTCTCAATAGCAACAACAACAAAAGTTAGTGTGTCATGAAATATCATGGTTTATGAAGAAAACGTTCTTCTTAACATTGACAAAAGTGGTCAATATATAACTTCAATTCACATAAATTTGGTTTGTCTTTAGACTTTTCAAACTGTGGTCCCAGAAATTTTACCCTCTGGAAATACTGACACATTAGTTTTTGTTAACTTCTTTCTAATTATAAAATGAATAATCTTCTGATAGATGTGGTTCTAAGAGAAATTACTAATATTTCATTTATTTATGCTTAATATATATGTGCCTTCTGCTGATTAAGAGCCATGTGACCTCAAACATGGTACTGAAGCTTTATGCAATTGTTTCTACTAGGTAAACTGGGAACTTTTACTGACTAAAGAATAAGTAACTTTTATTAGCTAGAATAAGTAGTTATTCTATACTTAAAATATACTTTTATAAAGCCTTAATACTTAGTACTTATTTAGTACTTTCTGAGTATTAACTCTCCTAAGTATGTATCATTTTCTATAATACTCGCAATTTTAAGAGGTAGAGACTGTTGCTAATGGTAATTGAGAAAATGATGGTTCATGGACTGGGCTTAGGTCTGATTTACTGCAAATTCCACAAACAATTCTATATTGCTTCTCTATGTTGTTATTTATTTGCTACTTAAAATATTTTACATGAAGGCTTATAAAGGCATCAGTATAGAATAAATGATGTAGCAAATATTTTAAGTACAGAATAAATGAGGTAACAAAAGAACTTAATTGAGTAATTGAGTAATTTCCCTGCAATAGGCACTCCATTCCCTTTAGTTAGCTCTCTCTCTACCCTTTGGTCTCTCTCTCTCTCTGTCTCCCTCTCTCTCTCTCTCTCTCTCTGTCTTCCAATACATATATACATATATCATATATAGAGAGACAGAAAGATGTGTCACTGTAAATACTCTTGACATTGACCATTATTTATTAAATGTTAACTATAATTTAAAATCTTAGAGTTATATAATATAACATTTAAGCTGATAATCAATTTGAGTATGTCATTTCATTTAAGAAGACTAAATATTTCGTGTGTATTTTAAGATTACTGGTGTTCAAAAGCCTATCCTTTGGCATTCATTTATTTGCTCATACATTTCATCAATTCTTACTTATCTGGAGCTTACTATGTGTCTGGCATTGTAATAGACACTGTGGAGGATAGAAAACTTAATTCGACAGTTTCTTCCTACAAGCAATGTGAAATATAATAAGATGGAGGAGTTACACATTTTATACAAAATATATTCTTGATTCTAAACAGAAAGTGAAAACTACTATAAGATAAAAAAATCACAAAATCAAAATGCTATGGGAGCTCAGAAGCATACACATTATACTAACATATAGAGATCTTCGCAGCTATTTTCAAAGAGTTCAAGTTTGAGATATAATTTGAAGCGTGAATAGAAATTCTTAGGGCAATGATAAGATATGGGATATCATGCTATTCATCTACATTTGCATGGAAAATTATAGGGTCTGACATTTTAACTCAAGTAAATGGCTTAGGGGTCTTTTCTCCCATATTTAAGTAACTCAAATTCAATGAGAATAAAAATTCTGAGTAAAAAGCTCCTATAAAGTACCAAAAAAATAAAAAACCCTGAAATTCAATTTTTAAGGTCATAAAGATCTCCGAAATATGAGATGTAGGTAATTCAAGTATCATTGCTTGAAATGATGTCTTAACATTGTAGCCAGGAAATATAACTGAAGGCCAATAGAAATACTCTATTCATTCTGTAGAAATACATTTGCTGCTGGTAAAATGATAGACATGTATTAGTTTTCCCACATATCTGTTAATATTTTGGAGTGGGCCCATTGTCCCTTTTTCACATGAAAAGTTCAGGTCCCTGATCTTTTATAGCATCTACACTGAAACTGAATCTATTATACATTATGTTCCCCAAAGGACAGTAACTGAGACAGAGGCTGGCCAGATGGGCCACATCCCTTCCCATCTCTGTGCACCGGTGGGAGGCCTCAAAGAGGTGGCTGCACTGCAGTTCCAATTATGGATGGTGTGGGTGGACTGCCATTAATAGGGAAACTTTTCATTTCAAGCGCTGGACAGAACCAGCCTAAGGATATGGCAAATTGGATCACTACCCCGGGAGACTCTGTCCATTGCAGCATATGAAAGAAAGAATCAAATGCTTTCTCTAGCAGCTGGCCTCTAAAATATGCTTCAAGTCAGCATTTTTATAATGATTATCATTATTGTAGAACACTGCATCTGTGCCCCTTCCATTTGGTTTCACAGTTCAGTCATGCTTCTTTGCTGAGTTCTTTTTATAAATCTTGCTTGCAGCAAATTCACCTGGTTGGTGCTGATTTTCACAATAATATTGTAGAGCCCATTTATTAGCTATTGATGTTTGTTTTAAAAACACATGACCAATTTTATAAGTTTCAGGTATTATATAGATCTCAAAAACAAAATGTTGAATAAAAGAGAGTATTATAGAATAATATATACAATTTATGTATTGTTGGGATTTTTTCAAAACCTGAACAAAATCTATCTTTATGGTCATCTATGTAAAATTGGCTTAGAAGGAGGACCAGACAGAGTGAACATTTTTTCCAGAAGTGACACAGGAACTGAACAAGAAAACCGAAGGAATCTACAGACCTTTTGAAGGAAGCAGGAGACTGCAGCCTTCACCATGAGTTAGAGAAAGGGCTGTGAGTCCCCAGAATGTGAAATGGAGAGACACTGCCTACAGGATATATACCCCAACTGGGGACCCTGAAAGTCCAGGCCATAGGGGAAGACTTTAACCCTACCTAGTGTAGGAACTGACTTGGGGAGGATCATGAAATATAAAAGTAGGAGGAGTAGCAGGAAGACACTTGCATGCACTCCCAGTTTTCAGCACAAACTGAGGGAGGCCATTGCTTATTGTTCCTCAAAGGGAGCCCTGTGGATGACATCCAAAAAGTTCAGGCAGTGATCACATGTTGAAAGAACTCCCCAGGTGGGGCTCATGTTATAATTTTGAGTGTGGACAAACTCCCTTGGCCAGGGCCAGGACAGGAAAGAGTGAAAAGCAGGCTGCAGCCAGGAGCGCAGGAGCGAGTACAGAAGCCCAGTGCCCAGGTTTGCAGGGGATGGAGAGGGGCATGGCCTGAAAGCCACAGTTTCTATGTCCATGGCAAAAGCTTGTGACTTGGGGCATATGAGAGTTCTCAGTGCAGGCTTACTGGAACCTAGTCCACTGCTAATAAACACTGCGGGAATGAACTGCTTCACCAAGAATGTGGGATCTGTGTGAGGCTAACTGCTACCTGTGTGGGGTTCACTTCCTGCATAAACTCTTCTGTGCAGCAGAGGCAGCAACACTCCACTCTGGAACATCAACCCAGTAGCCTGAGAACTTCTCCCATTCCTCGACACCCAAAGGGTCTGCATACAGAGACTCAGGGCAAACCCACTACCCCCACATGGCTTTGCCCTATCACCAGCCCTGATAGCTTAACACAAAGCACAGAAACTCTTAGGAACTATATGGCCCCACCTATTGCCTAAGAAACCAGAGTACCCACCCTAGGAAACATAAGGTAAGCAAAAGTCCCGCTGCTACTACTGCAGCTGGTGCTGTTTTGCAAGTGTCACTTCATGCCTGGAAGCCAGCCAATCTAACACAGTCCACTATAGCATCTCCTGGTAGAATAACACTGTACATAGGAAGGAGAAGAGGGCTGCATGATCTCAGCTATCATTACTGCCTCCACCACTCTGGCTAACCAGGAGGTCCTGAATTTGTCCATATGACTGGGTCATTACAACTCTAACCAAGTTCAAGAGAACCAACACACTATAGCTATCAATAATCAAGGAATCTCAAAGAGTCGATGTCACTTCCCTGTCACCCCCATTAGAGTTGGTGCTGCTACCCACTGCTGGCAGATTTAAGGATTTGCAGACATTCCCCAACAGCAGCCTGGAGTGTGGCAACTTTACTGGGCAGCTAGATCCAGAGGAGCAACAGCCCTCACAGTAGTCTGGCTTTCAGGGATTCCAACTCCTAGGGGAAGGGGGAGTGTGTGAACCACAACAAGGGAACACCCTGTGGGCTAAAAAAATCTGGACAGTAGGCCTTAAGTACCAGATCTGTCTGCTTGTGGGAAGTTTCTTTCAACATAGGCACAGTTGCAGTGCTGGGCACAGTAGGGAAAGTCTTCAGCTCTAACCCAACAGTCAGACAGCCCTGGTGTGCCTTAAGGGCCTTGGAGAAGGAGATCTCTTTCCACTCTTGTCCACCACTGCAGGCACAGTTGGGGCTCCTCCCCATGGGAACACAGTATGGGTGCAACTATAGACAGTCTTTCTGGAACAGATGAGGGTGACTGCATCCACACAGGAGGAGCGACCTCCAGGTTCAGGTTTGCATGAGAGACAGTCAGAATTCTGCCCTGTTTGGAACATCAACATTCCTACGAATGAAAAGAGTTGCCTGTCTGATCTGAATAGCTGGAGCACTGGGAATGGAGTGTGTCTGAGAGGTGGACAACTTTCTTGCTGGCCTGTCAGGGAGCTGAGGTGGTTCCAACTTTTCCTCCTAAGAAGCCCACTTAGTGTAACTCACTGAGAGCTCTTCCAGCCACCTCTGTCAATGCTGGGACCTCTGCCCACCACTGGTTATTGCATTTACTCATCTGCTTTAGCCACAACTGATTTCTACCCAGGGACACCTCCTCTACTGGCCTGAAGCCTGAACTATCAAACCAGTAAATAAAATACTGAGAGAAAATAAATTTTAAAAATGCATGCCACATGATAATGATAAAAACTTTCAGAGATCTCTAACATCCTTTAGGAGAAATACTTAACATAGATGACAGGTTGATGGGTGCAGCAAACCACCATGGCATATGTATACCTATGTAACAAACCTGCACATTCTGCACATGTACTCAAGAACTTAAAATATAATTAAAAAAAGAAAAAAAAAACAAGATCTCTACCATCCCAACCCCATAAAAAACAGTGAACTTGCTCACACACTGAGCACATTGCTGCTACAACCAGCACATGAGAAAGCCATCATACAAAGACTCTCTGTAACCAAGAAACTCTTACAGAGTTTTCACATGTGAAAGCAGGAGAATCACTTGAACCTGGGAGGTGCAGGTTGCAGTGAGCCAAGGTCACACCATTGCACTCCAGCCTGGGCAGCAAGAGTGAAACTTTCTCAAAAAAAAAAAAAAAAAAAAAAAAAAAACTGTGTATAATTGGATTGTTTGTAACACAATGAATAAATGCTTTAGGGCTTGAGTGCCCCATTTTCCATAATGTGATTATTATACAATGCATATCTGTATCAAAACATTTCATGTATCCCAACAAATATGTACACCTACCATGTACCCACAAAAAAATTAAAATGTTTTTTAAAAAGAAATACAAAAGATAACTCAGGACACTTTTATATGCATAAACTAGAAAACCTAGAGGAAATATATAAAGTCCTGGGTATACAACTCTTTTAGGTTAAATCAGGAAGTAACAGAAAACCTGAACAGACCAAAACAAGAAGCAAGATTGAATGAGAAATTTAAACACTTTCAAGAGAAAGCCTAGGACCAGATGGAGTCATGGCTGAAATCTACCAGACATTCAGTGAAGAGTTGGTACCAATCCTACTGAAACTATTCCAAAAGATTGAGAAAGAGGGACTCATTTCTAAATCATTCTATGAAGCCAGCATCACCCTGATAACACCACCAGGAAAGGACATCACACCTAAAAGAAAACTACAGATTGATTTTCCTGATGAATGTAGGTTTTAAAATCCTCAATAAAATACTCTCTAACTGAATCCAACAGCACATCAAAAAGATGATATATAATGATCAAGTGGGTTTCATCCCAGGAATGCAGGGATGAATATATTCAAGTATATATGCAAGTCAATAAATCTGATACATCACATGAAAAGAATTAAAAACAAAAATCATATTATTATCTCAATAGATGCAGAAAAAGCATATGACAAAATCTAGCATCCATTTATGACAAAAACTTTCAACAAACTAGACATAGAAGAGACCTACTTTAAAATAGTAAAGAATGTATGACAAACTTACAGCCAGCATCGCTGACTGCAGAAAAGTTGAAAGCATTTCCCCTGAGACCAGTAACAAGACAAGGGTGACAACTTTCACAACTCCTATTCAACGTAGTTCTGAAAGTCCTAGCCAGACTAATTAGGCAAAAGAAGGAATTAAAGGGCATCCCAATGGAAAATAGGAAGTCACACTATCACTGTTTGAGGATGAGATAATCATATACCTAGAAAATCCTAGGCTCCCCCAAAAGACTCTTAGATTTGCTAAACAAATTCAGTAAAGTCTCAGGTTACATAATCAATGTACACAAATCAGTAGTACTGCTATACACCAACAACAACCAAACTGAGAATCAAATCAAGAACTCAATCCCTTTTACAACAGCTGAAAAATAAAACAACAACAACCTAGAAATAAATTTAACCAAGGAGGTGAAAGATCTCTACAAGGAGAACTACAAAACACTGCTGAAAGAAATTATAGATGACACAAACAAATGGAAATGTACTCATGCTCATGAATTGGAAGAATCCATATTGTGAAAATGACCATACTACCCAAAGCAACCTACAAACTCAGTGCAATTCCCATCAAAATATCAACATCATTTTCCATAGAATTATAAGAAACAATTATAAAATTTATATGGAAGCAAAAAAGAGCTTGAATAACCAAATCAATTCTAAGCAAAAAGAACAAATCTGGAGGCATCATGTTACTGGACTTCAAGTTCTACCAAAAGGCTGTAGCTACCAAAACAGCATGGTCCTGACGTGAAAGTAGGCACATAAACCAATGAAACAGAATAAAGAACCCGGAAATAAATCCAAATACTTACAGCTAACTGATCTTTGACAAAGCATACAAAACATAAATTGGGGAGTGGACACACTATTTAATAACTGATGCTGGGAAAACTGGCAAGCCATATACAGAAGAAGAATAAAATTGGATCCCTACTTCTCACCTTATGCAAAATTCAACTCAAGATGGATCAAAGACTTAAATATATAACCTGAAACCATAAATATTCTAGAAGACAATATTTTAAAAACTCTTCTAGACATTGGCCTAGGCAAAGAATTATTAACTAAGACCCTAAAAGAAAATGCAACAAAAAATTATAATAAATGGGACTTAACTAAACTAAAAAGCTTCTGTGCAGCAAAAGAAATAATCAGCAGAGTAGACAGACAACCCCACAGAATGGGAGAAAATATTTGCAAACTATGCATTGGACAAAGGCCTGGTATCTGGAATTTACAAGGAATTCAAACAAATCAGCAAGACAAAAACAAATAATCCCATGAAAAAATGGGCAAAGGACATGAATAGACATTTCTCAAAAAAATGTCTAAATGAATATAGATAAATGATCAACAAACATATGAAAAAATTCTTAACATTACTAATAATCAGGGAAATGTAAATTAAAGGCACAATGAGATACCACCTTACTCCTGTAAGAATGGCCTTAATTAAAAAGTGAAAAAGCAATAGATGTTGGCATGGATGTGGAGAAAAGGGAATGCTTATACACTGCTGGTGGGAATGTAAATTAGTACAACCTCTATGGAAAACACTATAGAGATTACTTAAAGAACTAAAAGGAGATATACCATTTGACCCAGCAATCCCACTACTGGGTATCTACTCAAGGGGAGAGAAGTCACTATATGAAAAAGACACTTGCACACATATGTTTATAGCAGCAAAATTCACAATTACAAAGATGACCCAACCTAAGTGCCCATCAACTAACAAGTAGATAAAGAAAATGTATATACACAGTGGAATACTACTCAGCCATTAAAAGGAAAAAGTAATGTATTTTGCAGCAATATGGATGGAGCTGGATGTTGTTATTCTAAGTGACACAGGAGTAGAAAAAACAAAAACTAGATGTTCTCACAAGTGAGAGCCAAGCTATGAGTATACAAAGGTATACAGAATGGTCTTTAGAGGCTCACAAGGAGCACGGTGAAAGCAATAGAAATAAAACACTACACATTAGGTACAATGTACACCAGTTGGGTGACAGGTGCAATAAAATCTCAGAATTCACCACTATATAATTCATCCATGTAACAAAAAAAACCACTTGTGTATCAAAAGGTATTGAAATAAAAACTTTTAAAAAGAAAGAATACCATTATATTTTTGACAGTGGTTGTCAGAAGATTGAGGGGTGAGAAAACAAAGGGAAATTTGGAAATAGGTGATAAATAAATTTCCAACTTTATATATGTATATAAATGTAAAGTGTTATATTTTATTTCAAGATATGAAGGAAATACAGCATAATGCTAACAATTGCTAATTATGATGGAGAGCAGTTATGTCTTACATTCTTACGTTTTTCTATAATTTTAATATGTCAAATCATTCTACTATAAAGACACGTGCACACATATATTTATTGCAGCACTGTTCACAATAGCAAAGACTTAGAACCAACCCAAATGCCCAACAAAGATAGACTGGATAAAAAAAATGTGGCACATATACACCATAGAATACTATGCAGCCATAAAAAAGAATGAGTTATGTCCTTTGCAGGGACATGGATTAAGCTGGAAACCATCATTCTCAGCAAAGTAACACAAGAACAAAAACCCAAACACCGCATGTTCTTACTTATAAGTGGAAATTTAACAATGAGAACCCATGGACACAGGGAGGGGAACATCACACACCTGAGGCTTGTTGGGAGGTCGGGGGCTAGGGGAAGGATGGTATTAGGAGAAAAACCTAATGTAGATGACAGGTTGATGGGGTGCAGCAAACCACTATGGCATGTGTATACCTATGTAACAAACCTGCATGTTCTGCACATGTACCCCAGAACTGAAAATATAATAATTAAAATAAAATGAAATAGTAGTTGAGGTAGTGATAGCTGAAGAGTGTTCCCTAAACTTAAAATAAAATAAATGAAATAAAATAAAATAAAAAAGTAGTCGAGGTGGTGATAGCTGAAGAGTGTTTCCTAAACATCAGCAGTGTGCTTTTGCTGGACTTGGTTGTTCCCTTTTGTTTAACTACCAAAACCGGTATGCTACAAAAGGCAGAGGTGTGCAACAAGCTCTATGAAAGTGGTCAAGTTATTTAACAGAAATAATAAAACGTTCTGATTTGCATATGAAGGCCAGGAAACATGCTCAAAGTATTGAAGGAAAAGGAGTTATTTAACCCAAATGTAGCCTTCCTATGATTATACATACTATGCCTACTATATGGACAAAACTAAATTTGTATATAGATGTCACCATAAACATCCTATTTTTCTGAGGCCTGAATAAAGAGCAGGTACAGAACAAAAAAATATTAAAACAAAGTTGATGAGGAAAAGGTGTATGAGGGTTATTAGATGAAGGAATTTTTACAGTTTTGGATAGAATTCCACTTCCTATCCACCAAATCAAAGCTTCTGTGAAATAAAAATGAATGCAACAGAACTCTGCGGATTACATTTAGGCATTCGAAAATAAAGAATCTCTCAAAAACAGAAAAACAGATTTATGAGTCAGGAGCTCAGTGATGTATTTCATTGTCATTTGTGAGAGGTCGGCTGTTTAGAAACTTAACAACTTTCATAAAAATCTGAGTAGAAAAATACTGTCTTCAGACACAAAGTACTATTTTTGATGAAGTGGTGGAACTGAGCACAGACAATGTATACTGGGGCAGATTTACTACTTAGAAGGCCCTAAGAACCAATGAGAGGACAATCTATTCCATCTCTCTGATCAGTAGTGGCTGTCACGCATGGCAAACTGGCTTTAAATTTGGGTCCCAAGCTGATCCCAACATACACTACATCATGGGGGTGGATGGGAAGATCTGCTTTATTGCTGCATTCTTTTCTTAATGCCTTCTGCCCTCACATTAGGGATTATCAGAGTTTTCTATCTTTCATCAAGTAGGGATTCTCAAAGGTTTCTATCTTCCCTCAAATACCAGGAAAATGTTGAAGACTTGATAATTTATCAATCCAGGACCATTTGCATTTAGAAGGAAGAACTGGTATCTTCTATCCTCTGCTCTAACAAATATACCTGAGACACAGACCTCTGGAAAGAGACCAATGATCTGAGATAAGATCTAATCTGCACTTGATCTTTAGACTAACTCCCATCCCTACAAGCCCCAAAGTATATTCTTTTGCCCCTCTGACTTAGAGCACCATGGCGTCTCGATGCTGAATGGCAGCATAGTGTGGTGGTGAAGAGCTGAGACTCAGGACCAGATCATCTGAGTTTGTAATGTGAACTCCATCATTAATTACCTGGTGATCCTCTGAAATAATTAAATTTTCCTCTCGCTGTTTCCTTAACACCATATATCTGAAGATAATGGCATGAAATCGATGACTATATATATACAGTGCTAAACCATCAATGTTGATGGCAAAGTGCCACCTCAGATTCTGAGTTAAATCTGATTGAAGTGGGAAACACTTCAGGAGACAACTGCACAGGGGTCTTGGAAAGAATCCTTTCTCCCTAGGCCTGGAATCTGGTGATTCAAACTACATGCTCTTCCCTCCACTCTTCCTACCCAGATTCAGGAGCTAACACACCAGAGTTCCTCAGTCCCATTACTTTTAGCCTGCACCACATGTGTGTCGACCAGACGTTTATCCTCCTCATTCTACCTACACTAGATGTACTTGAATCCAGCCCTGGTGCTCCTGTAATTCCTGCAAGGAACAAGTATTAGGGGCTGGGGTCCTGCAGTTAGCAAGACCTTGTGAAGAAACATCAACTCCTTTCTGGTTCTCAAGTGTCTTACACTAAGTGAAGGTATCACTGCATGAACACACACACAAAATAAAAATCTAATTGCACAAATCTGTGAGTGGAGGATGAATTTTTCACTCAAATATGCAATCTACAAGGCCACATATTCTGCTAGTAAATTATACATTTCCTGTCTTTGAATGATCCTTTTGCATCTTTGACTCCTACTGATTCTCAAAATCAGAGCCTTTATGATTCTTAAAAGCACTTCCTCCCTGACTTCCTTTTGATGTTTCCATAGCGTTCTGCAAATATTCCATCACAGCTTCCATCATGAGCCATATAGAATGATACATAAAATTTCACCTGAGCCCTTTGTTCCTGAAAAACAGCCATAGGTAAAATAAATCCCCCCACACTTTGTGTTCAGGAAAATAATTTACCGAAAAGAACCCCTTTCCCTGAATAAATTAGATAAGACTCCTGGAGAGCTCACTTGTTTACCAAGGACAAGGTCAGAGACGCTCTACACTCCCATTCTCTCCTATCCTTGCTTTTTTTTTTTTTTTTTTTTTTTTTTTTTTTTGAGACTGAGTCTCACTCTGTCGCCCAGGCTGGAGTGAACTATGGCCTACCCTAGGGCTTTGGGACACAGAATAACCCTGCCTGAAAGTCCCTGCAGAGAGAATTGCTGACCTTAGGAGAAACTATCAGCTTTGCAATCATCCCACCTCACTCCATTTCTCCAGATCTGATGCTCTCTTCTCTCCATAAAGAAAAGCCCTTTCTGCCTGAGATTTCAGATCTTATAGTGAAAGGCCCTTTCTAACTGTAACAGTCCCCCTCTTTTTATAACAGTATACTTCTTCCTTTATTGAAATAGTCCTTTGAATAAAACCTCTTCTCATGTGATTACAGACTTGCGGGTTTTTTGGACATAACTTTTGGTTTTAATAACCTGCTTTCTTTTCTATATCGTTCACTAGATTATAAACTCTATGAGTACAGGCACAATGTCTAACCCTATGAGTACAGAAAAGATGTATCTTTTATTCACAGTTGCTTTATGAGACTCTTTCATAATACTGCATCACAGAGGTACTCAATAATTGAATTTTTATTAAATAATATCTGGCTTTAACCTCGAAGATCTAATACTTTAATTCAATGTTATATTTTTTACCCTGAAAATCTACATTCTTACTGAAGATCACAACTTGAAACAGCAATCAACTAGAGAAAGAAGAATTTTAAAATGTCAAAATCATAGATCATACGGTACCTGGATAAACCAAAGCTGTGTATAAAAATTATTTCTATAGCTAAAAATGAAAATACTTTTTGACTAATTATATCTAAGAGGAACAGTAATTAAGCTCTCAAAAATGTTTCTGCTAAGCACATCTATCGACATAGTGAGACGTTTGTTTTCCATGTAACAGAACTGGTAGGATAAACTTGTAAAATGAAAATAGTAATACTTGGCATGATCGAAGAGGCTTCACACAGCATAGAACAAGTATATTGTGAGGTACATTTTAAATATAACCTAAGATAAGATTATGTATTGCAAGAGCTAACACATTTTTATGATTTCTAAAAACATGTCCTAATTGAGAGCAATATCATTTAGGTGAGTCCAATTACTCTGAAGGCACAGCCTTGGAAATTCTCGTCTCCTCTTACCTTGCTTATTTTCATAAATCCTGTCCCAAGCTTAACTATACAACTCTAGTACCTAATTTGTAAAGTTTACAGCATCTTTAAATTAAATCTTGGTCATCTGCCTTAAGTGCTTTTTCTTTCTGTGTGTGTGTGTTTGTGTGTGTGTGTGTGTGTGTGTGTGTGTAATGAATGATTTATTGACTAACAGAGTTAATGTACTTTTAATGTCTTATCACTTACTTATAAAGGAAACACCTACCCTGGGAGAATCTGGCACATGTATATTTCTTTCTTTCTTTCTTTTTTTTTTTTTTAAGAATTTTGTGTTTCTTGTCTTTTATTTTATTTTTATTTATTTATTTAATGTGTATATATATATATATATATATTATTGCATTTTAGGTTTTGGGGTACTTGTGAAGAACATGCAAGATTGTTGCATAGGTACATGCATGGCAATGTAGTTTGCTGCCTTCCTCCCCATCACCTATATCTAGCATTTCTCCGCATGTTATCTCTCCCCAACTCTCTACCCCCATTGTCCCTCCCTTAGTTCCCCCCAACAGATCCCAGTGTGTGATGCCCCCCTCCCTGTGTCCATGTGTTCCCATTGTTCAACACCCACCTAAGAGCAAGAACATGAGGTGTTTGATTTTCTGTTCTTGTGTCAGTTTGCTGAGAATGATGGTTTCCAGGTTCAT